TGTTGGAGAATCAGCTGACAGTCGTATGGGTATTCCCTTGTAGGTAATTGAGTCTCTTTCTCTTGCTGCTTTTAAGATTCTCTCTTTGTCTTTTGCTCTTGGCATTTTAATGATGATGTGTCTTGGTGTGGTCCTCTTTGGATTCCTTTTGTTTGGGGTTCTCTGCGCTTCTTGGACCTGTAAGTCCATTTCTTTCACCAGGTGGGGGAAGTTTTCTGCCATTATTTCTTGAAATAGGTTTTCAGTATCTTGCTGTCTCTCATCTTCTGGCACCCCAATAATTCTGATATTAGTCCGCTTGAAGCTGTCCCAGAGGCTCCTTACACTATCTTCACACTTTCGGATTCTTTTTTCATTTTGCTTTTCCAGTTGGGTGTTTTTTGTCAAATCTTTGGTTTGATTCTTGTGCTCCTCTGGTCTGCTATTGGGTATAATATTCTTTATTTCAGTCAGTGTATGCTTACTTTCTAATTTCTTTATCGTAGCATCGAGGGTCTCATTAGTTTTCGTGAGGCTCTGCTCAAGTTTATAGCAAGCCCTCAAAATTGCGATTTTTAGCTCCATATCCTCCATTTCTGTCATGTTTCTTTGTCTCCGCATCTTTTATGCTTTCTTGGTGCACCCGAAAGTGGGGTTCCTTTCCCACATTTCTAGAGTTACTCCGGAAGCTCCGGTAGGGATGGGTCAGGCGTGCCCAGCATGGGGATCCTATTGCACTTGGCAGCAAAGTACACTGGCAGGAAAGCAGCACCCAGCCCATGACACCCCATGCTGGGGAAGCGGTGCCCACTCCACCTGGACCTGGGTGTTTATTTTAAGGAAGCTGCGGCCTCCAGGGCCTGGGAACCTATGTTCTCCACTGTTGGACCCCCACTTACAGGGTAGGGGAAGGGGGGAGAGCACACAGGGCTCTGCCTGCAGGCCCGTCCCCACTACACTGAAGGACTTCCCTCTGAAAGCAGCTTCTAAGAGCTTCTGCCAACATTGAAAAAAAAAGCTTTTCAGAGTTTTAAAGTTCAAAAGCCCTGTGCGTTCAAAAGCCCTGTACATCCTGCTAGACTTTCCCAAACATTCAGATCTCCGGGCTCAAGTGCACCCCAGAGAGGGGCCCACCTGTCCACCAAGAAGCACCAGAGTGCCCACCCTCCCTCACAGAGGGGCTTCCCTCTCTGGACCCTGGGGAGGGCTGTGTGCAGAGGGGTCAGCTACACACACACACACACACACACACACACACACACACCCCACCCCCCCCCCCAGATAAAGAGCCCTGCTCCCTGCTGCAGGGGCTACCTGAGGGCCCGGATGGAACCCCTCTCTCCAGGTTCAAGCTGACCGGCTGCTGCGGACGCCAGCTCCTGGCCAAACCACGGCTCGCTGCAGGCTGCGCCCCCTTGAGCCACGCCTTCACCCAGGCTCTGCCCCACCCAAGTCGCAGTCCATAGGCCACGCCTCCTTCAACAGACCCCGCCCTCCTGGCCTCTTCCCCGCTGGAGCGGGACCAGTGTCCCACAGCGCCTTTCCCGGGCAGCCCACCTACTCGCGCCGGCTGTGCGGACGGCCTGAAGGGCACCCGACAGAGGCGGCTTTCGGGCGCTGCTTACGGGACCTGGACGGAGCGCGGTGCTCAACCTGGCCGCCACCAACTGCCCCCCGACCCGCCCGGCCCAGAACCTGCGTGCGGTGGGGCCCCAAACCTGCACTGGGAGCGCGCGTGCGCTGGACAGAGCCTTCCTGACCTTCCGTGCCCCTAATCAGGACATCTGCGCCCGCTTCCCTCAGGCTGGGGAGTGCGGGATCTGTGCAGTTTGTTCTGCCCTCGGCCCGTCCCAGCGCCCAGCATCACTGGGAGGTACAAAGAAGGCTCCTAATGGGTGTGCGAACCACATGGCAGGGCAGGGCACCTCCTACAGCAGTGACAGCTCCTTTTCGTGCGCGCTGCCTCACACCTGTCCAGACCGGGCGCTTTCAAGCACTCCTGGTTCCATCCGCGCCCGGAAAATGCTGGGGTGCTGGTCTGCATTTTCCAGCTGAGGCAACTAAAGCCAGAAAAAAATAATATGCAATATATGAAGGAGCCGAGTTCCCCCCACCTCCCCAACCACTTAACTGCTCCATGTGCCCTTTCGTGGGAGAAGAGGGGGGCGGGGAGGCAGGAGACTGGAGACCAACAGAGACCTTAGCAACACAAGCCCTAGTGTCGCAACAGCAGGCCAGTAAACAAAGCTGCACTGGGCTTGGGGCAGCCAGAGTTCCTTTTGCCTATGGAGCGAGCGGCAGCCTCAGGCCCCAGGCCAGGGGCCCCATCTCAGGCCATTAAGAATGTGAGTCCTCCCGGGATGCTGCTTCTACCTTGGGGTTGGGGTCCTCCCTGACCCCTCAGGAACATGTCCTGGGCCTGATCCTTGGCATGGGCCTGGCTTCCCCATCAGCTAGGCTGGGTATGTGGGGGTAGATGTGGGTGTGTGGGGGCCACAGCCTGGGCCTGAGACCCTGCCTTCGCTGCCCAGCTGTCCTGGCCTCCTCTTGGGCTCCCTGCAGTGCAGGGGAGCCAGAGCTGCCCAGTGCTCAGTGCTCACCACCAGGGCCCTGAGTGGTGGGTGGTGGTTCCTCCCCAGGTTCTACCACTGACTGAGGATTCGCTGCCAGGAGTCCCTAGGGACGCCCCAGCCTGGGTCACCAGTCTTAAGACAGAGCTTCCCTCAGATCTAGAACTGAGTGAGGAGCAGCGGCTGCAAGTGAGTATAGGGGTCCTGGGAGCTAGCAGGAGGGGGGTGCCCACAGGATCCCACAGGTACCACCTCTCACCCCGGCCACCCACAGATCTCCAAGGAGCTGGTCGACCTGCAGATCACAACCCATCGTCTGCGGGAGCAGCACGAGACTGAAATCTTTGAGCTAAAGAGTGAGGTGGGCGCTGACGTGTGCCCACATATGTCAGCCCAAGTCCTTAGCGGGATGCGTACCTAGGACCAGTGCTATGGGGGGTTGCAGGTGTACCCCTCGTGACGGGTGACAGGGTTCTCACAGAGTACCTGAGTCCCTGAATGTCCCGCACGCGCTGTGTCCACGTGTGCCCAGATGGATGTTCATCTGGCCCAGCAGGCAGGTGCACCTGCTCACCCTGGTCACCCCACAGGTCCTGCGGCTGGAGAACCGGGTGCTGGAGCTGGAGCTGCATGGAGATCATGCAGCCTCAGCAAAGACTGATCCAGGGCACCTCCAGGCATTTGCACAGGAGCTTGAGCAAAAGGCCAGGGATCAGGAACACAGCAACCATCGCATTCTTCAGGTCTCCATTAGCACATGGAGGGCCTGACTGGGTGGGAGCCAAGTAGGGGGTGCAGCAGGGGTGCAGTGAGGCTGGGACCCACTCTCCTGCACAGGCACAGCCCAAGGACTTCCAGGCTCCTGAGAACAAACTGCAGAAGCTGGGAAATGGCATGGGTGTGCAGTCATCTTGCCTGCCCACGTTTCTCCCAGCCCAGGGTTGGGGTGGGGCAGTGCAGGGGAGCCAGAGCTTGGGGTCTCATCCAACCAGCTCTATGTACCCCACAGCTACAGGGAGAAATGAAGTGGATGCTGGAGCAGCACGGGGCCCGCCAGCAAGCACTGGAGATGCGCGTGTGAGTGGCTGCCTTACCTGGCACAGGGCACGCAGCAGCTGATCCAAAGGGGCAGAGAGAGTCCCCTATCCTGGGCCTCACTGAGCCTCACACCCATGTCTGCAGGGCAGCCCTGGGCCAGCAGCTGCAGGGAGCCCAAGAGGAGGCCAGGACAGCTGGGCAGCGACTGGCTGCACAAGCTGTGGTGAGGCCCAGTTATACCCATTTGAGATCTGGGGGACAGGGTCCTATAAGCTTAGTAGAGGACACCTCGAGGAGCATAGGTTCAAGGCTGCCTCCATCCCCAGGCGTTGTCCACCTGCCAGGGCCAGCTCCGCCAGGCTGAGGCTGAGAATGCCAGGTTGCAGTTGCAACTCAAGAAGATGAATGAGGAGTACACCATCCGGTTGCAGCGCTACTCCCGAGCCCTGGTGGTGAGCACTGGGCAGGGTGGCACTGTTGTGGGTGAGAGGCCCCCGGGTCCTGGGGAGCCCAAGCCTGGCCTGGGTTTGCTGAACTGTTTCAGGGACCCTCTGGGCCTCACCTACTGCACTGCAGAACCTGCTCCACACAGGAGCTGTGGGGAAGGGTGTAGGCCCTACCAAGCTCAGGCCCCACCCCATCTCCTCCAGGAATACGCAGATGGCACAAGCCAGGCACCTACAGGTGTAGCCCTCCGGACATTCCTGGAGACCACTCTGGAGGACATCCGAGCAGCACACCACAGCCGTGAGCAACAGCTGGCCCGAGCTGCTCGAGTCTACCGTAAGCGCCTGGCAGACCTGAGCCAAAGACATGAGGAACTGTTAGGTGCCCACAGGTAGGCCCTTCCCTTCCCCTGAGATGGGCATCTGGGGTGGGGTGGCTCTACATGACCCCCCAGGTGGTTTAGTGTGCAGCAGGTGCAGGCGGACCCCAAAGGAGCACCTGGGAAACCCAAGGCCACCTCTGATGAAGTCACCTCAAACCTGGAGCCACTGCCTCTGCGCCTGGTCACACAGCTCCAGAAGCTCCAAGTCCAGGTGACCCATCACTGCTGCTCCACACTGGCCTTGGGGCACCGAGCCCAGAACTCACCCTGCGGCCCATCCCAGGCTCAGCAGAGCCCCCGCTCCAGGGCCTCTGAGCAGCCCGCCTTGTTCAGCTGAGAATCCCTATCACACAGCTTATCACAGAGGGCTCAGCGCACTGTTCTTTTTCCCACAGAAGAGACCTGACGAAGCCTCCCAGGGGAGCGCATCAGAGCCACAGTGAGTGCCCTGGTGTCGGTGTTGGGGGGACCTGCAAGGGGGTATTCACTTATTCTAACGAGTCTTAACTGCTGGGTGGGGTTCTGGTTGCAGCAGTGAAAGTGGTGGGTCTGTGCCCTCCCTCAGGTCTGTCTGTATGGGAGACACTAATAATTACAGAAAAGCCAAGTGCCCGGGGTGAAGAGCGGCCCTGACGGGAGAAGGGCTGTCCTCAAGGAAGGGTTAGGGAGAGCCCAGGGAAAGATGTTTCAGTTGAGCCAAGGGACAGGGCAGGAGCAGGTTACCTGGTGCCCTTCACAGCCTTGCCTCTGGGCCCCGTGCTTCCAACAGTGCAATGGGCAGGGGTAATGCAGGCCCACCTCGCAGGGTTTTGGGAAACAAACCCCCATCATAGGGGGAGGCCCCCTCAGCACCTTTACAGACACTGGGGCCGCTTTCCAAGCTGGCCTGGGGCCCTCTTGACCTGGGCTGCCCTGCCCCCCATGCAGATGGCTCCCATAGTGGCAGGGTGGGCCCTTGCTGTCCTGAACTTGCCCCCAGCAGGCACCTCAAGTATTTAGGTGCCCCGACTTGAGCAGTGCCACTGGTCAGCTCCTGGGCCAACACCTGCCCTCATGTCCACCCCCCCCTTTCTTCTCTCACAGGAGCCTGGAAGCTGAATCCTGGCCCCAGATCCACCAGAAACTCCGGGACTTCTATCATAGCACCCAGGTAGTGAGGGGGCAAGGTGTGGCCAGGGATTCCATCCTCATACTCTGTTCTGGCTCATGCCTTATGCCCCTCCAATGTCAGGCAAAGCTGGAACGTGAGCGGGCAGAGCTGCTAGTCAGAGCCACGATGGCTGAGGCACAACTTTCTGAGCTTCAG